GCGCTTAACCTTCTCATAATTCAAAATTCAAATAACCCGAGATAGAATAGCTATCTATAACCGCAAAGCCAAGATTCAGTTTGATCATTTTAATTATTTTATGTCTCAGGCAAAGCAAACTAGTTCCAGTGACAATTAAAGTTTGTTACCGGCGAACTACAGTATAAAATATTTTAAACAATACTGCTACAACTTTTAACGAAGACATATTTATCGAAAATGAGATCGAATTTTTCTAATTATCCAATATTTATATATTATATGCATGTAATAATAATTATTCGCGGATAAAGGAAAGCGGATAATTATTATGCATTTCATTGGTATATGCATGCTTTATTGTGTTTGTCGTGCATGAGCGATATGTTATTTTCGTTTTGGCTCGAGTGTGACGGTGCGCTTTAGCGTGTCTACCCTGCAATTTGTACTGTCCACCGGAGTTGTCGCTCCACATTATTATCCGATAAAGATCTATCTTGACTGCTTTCCGTTCTTTGAAACACAACTATTATTAAGGCCACCTGCGCTCGAGACACGCATGCATTCCTTGAAATGATACAATGTTACCGCGAAACGAATTTCACAGTTTCGCTACTGCAGTATCCTCCCCGTGCAAATTAATTAATTTATCTTCTCGTTTAATCCGTTTAATCACCTAAACGGCGACGAACTGTAACTGCCTCGCTTGTTCTCTCGGCAGCTCGAGCTGTGTAGATATATCTAAGCGCTAAAGACACGCTTGTTACGTTATTAAAACGTATTACTTGACAGCGCACCTTTTTATTTGAACAAATTTCACAATTACACATTTCAATATGCATTTTTAGAGCAATCTTAATTTGAATAATCAACTCTATCTCATATTACGCATATTACTAATTGCAACTTTGTTCGTCTTCTCGTGAGAACTACACTATTATTGTGAGAACTAACTCTTCTATGATTTGACATAGAAGCGACGTTGCTCAAAATCCAAGTTTCATATACAGTGCTACAAATAATCCTTTCATCATTCTCTCTATTTACTCGGCGACTGTTTAATTCATTCTGTGCGCGATATATATAGTCACGGTGGAGGTGTAACAGGTACGAAATAATTGCTTCCTACGAGTAATTGCTTGCTTTTTCCACGACAGTCATTTGTAGTAGCCCGTAGACGATCGCGCTTACTCCGCGTACGTCTGATAATCGCTTTTCGTGCCGAGCGTGCATTACAACGTTAACGACAGAAAAATAATATTAATACGAAGCAACCGCAGTTGGAGAGGCATTTCGCGCGGAAATGGCGATTTTCTACGGTAACTCGTTTATCTTCTCTGCTCGTATATAATGGGAGACAATGTAAAACGATCAGCGCCGTAATGAGAAAATCAAGATCGGATTTAAAAGAAAGGTTCCATTGAAGAATAATAATTGGAACTTTTCTGCTACACATATTCTATTACAATCTTCTCGCGCGAATCATATATTTAGAGCTCGGAAATGATGAATTCGCAAGACCCTGCTTATATTACATGGCCTTGTTAATTTAATTAGTAGAATGCGCTCATAAATTTCAAATGCACAATAATTGTCAGAAATTATTATAATTTACAGTCGCGAGGAGGAAGTAATTAAGTAATAATGTGTTGTCCGCAATTTCTTGCGCACTGATAAATCTGGGTTATCTATCAGCGTTGCCGTAACGTCACGTATGGATGTACGGAGAACGATAATGTCGACCGGGTTACATCGTTGTACTAGCAATCGCATGGCGATCCTCCTGACGGATATTCTCGATTTGTCGCCTTATCTAATCGTAAGCGGATGCGCGCCTCGTAACCGCGTGTGGCCAATCGAGCAGCAAGGTGACTAAATTTACGAATACGTACGCCTTATTTAACCATTTAAACGACCGAGTTTTCATAGTGCTAGCCGAACATCTGAAGTGACTTTTCTCGCGTATTAAAATGACATTCTTTTAAATTAGGTTACATAATTTTGTTCGCTGTTTTAAATATTGTCTTTATTAGTAAATTATAAGAGCAATACTACTTTGGCACAGAATTTAAAATATACATAAATGTATCTCTGTATTGCTCAAAGAGTTAAACCGATACTTATAAGCATAAAATGTACTGTGTAAAATATCAAGAAAAATTAAACTATTTTATTTTGTAGAAGTATATTTTGCACTTCTCTGTTAATTATTAAAGTTATCAGATAAAATAGGTTCTGAATTTTAAATCCCGAAACAGAAAACTCATGTAAAGTTAGTTGTGACAGCTTTTTAATAGAAATATTGCAAATTAGAAATCTGTCTTAAAATTAATTTCCGTGTTTTTAAAATGCTTGGCAAGAGAGGCAGGATTTTTCACACGGCATCTTCTAAATCTTCATATGCATGAAAACGAAATATCAATCTATAATTCCCAATATCGAGATGTCGACCATCGTCGCGAGAATAACAAGTATATCCAACCGCTATTTGCTAAGTACAAGATTACTTTCGAAAGAGAATACAAGATTCCGGGGATACTTGGATAAAGCGAGATGCTGAGATACATTTCCGGAGAGTAGATGGAGGAATTCTTGGCAGACGGCCATTGGGAGAAATATGAACCGAACTTGGTTCCACGGTAACACATAATAAATTCTGTCATGGGGTGCCAACAGACAGACGCATTGAAATGAAATGTATTATCTATACTATTATATAAAATCCTTACGGGTGGTGTATGTTTGAACGTTAATAACGTGAAAACTATTGGACCGAATTTTTACCACAAGTACATGAAATAGGGCTAGAATTTTCCGGGGAGTGCTATAGAGTGTGTAGTTTTTCGTTACCGATTTTCTGAAAACCGATTTTTTTAATTTTTCTAATTCTTACGGGTAAAAGAATTTAAAAAATCGGTTTTCAGAAAATAGATAACGAAAAACTATACACTCTATAGCACTCCCCGGAAAATTCTACCCCTATTTTATATGGTTTTAATACAAATTCGGTCCAATAGTTTTTAAGTTAAAAACGTTCAAACATACACCACCCGTAAGAATTAGAAAAATAAAAAAAAAACGTTATTAACTTAAAAACTATTGGACTGAATTTATATTAAAACCATATAAAATAGGGGTAGAATTTTCTGGCGAATGCTATAGAGTGTATAGTTTTTCGTTATCTATTTTCTGGAAACCCATTTAAAAATTTTTTTTAATTCTTACAAGTGTGGTGTATGTTTGAACGTTTTTAACTTAAAAACTATTGGACCGAATTTGTATTAGAACCATATAAAATAGGGGTAAAATTTTCCGGGGAGTGCTGTAAAGTGTATAGTTTTTCGTTACCGATTTTCTGGAAACCGGTTTTTTTAATTTTTTTTAATTCTTACGCGAAATAATTGACCGAATCTCGGAGAGGGAGAGGGAGAGAGAGAGAGAACGAGAGACTATTGAGCGAGATTATTTGCGTGTATTATTACACATGTCCTCCGGGGCGAAGCCCGGGTAACCAGCTAGTATAGTATAAAAAGAAAGGAACTTGTATTAACACTTACAATTAAACAGACTGAAGAGTCGATATCGGTAAAACCATTATCAAATTAAAGTAACGAGAATTATAGCGTATGGAATAATTATTTCGTAGAGTTTAATTGTTAACTAGACCTAGAAACTAGAAAGCAGAATGTTTTACATTATAAAAAATATGTAAATATTTTTTCAACTTTTGAATAATACACCCAACAATTAAACAGATCCTTGCGTAGATAAGCGCTTGGCGAAACTCTCCAGGGACTGAGGATAGGCAAACTTTTAGAACGGATTATATCTGCCTGCTAATTATCGCACGCACAAAAATTGAAGAAGAAAAGACTCTGTTATCCCGAAGATGTTGCCTTCAGACAATGGAGGGAGTATCGATCGTCGGAAGTGAGCGATAAAATAGCGCGGGAGGAAAGAAGGGAAGGGCCTTCTTTCTCTCTAAATGGGAGGGATTTATTTTTACTCCCTCGTGTATGTGATTCGCGGTAGGGAAAGTCTCGATTTTATGCTGACGGAGCGCACGCACGCGCTTTTCGCGTAACACGCGTCAAGAAGAATCTCTCCTTTCGATGAACCTGACTCAGCTATCGGCCGCGCGGTGTTGCACACGGCCAATGACACCGCTAGACGTGCAACGTGTATTGTTCCGACTACCGCGTATCGATTTTTTTTTTATACAAGACGACAACTTTTACGATCCTCGTTTCATATTGTTATAACGTTAATATAGATTGCAATCAGAATAGGGATTAAAAAATATGTACAAACGAGTAAAAAGTAGGTAGTAAATTTCTTTTATAATCATACTTTTTGATGAGAATAACGAAAGCGTCATAAATATATAAAGTATCACTTGGTACAATTACCATACTAATTAATAAACGTATGCAATTCTCGAGAGGAAGTAGCGCCTCGATGCTCCTCGATAGAATAAATCAGCTGATTGGAAAAATATCAGATTTGTTCCACATGACGAATCTTGGGTTAGACGATATTTTTCCTTTCCAGTATAATCGCGCCGGTAGGATGTGCGGTTCGATTAACAAAATCGGACTGTCCGATAATTCGTGATTGGCGCTCTCCCAATTTGCCGGCGACCTTCGATATCGAAGCGAACAAACCTTTCGCTCATTTCGGTCACGTACATTACGGAAATGCCCTTTCGCGATGAAGTGCGCGCGAAAAAATTGGACCGTATATAATAGATTATAAGTAACTTGGAAAACAATAAAGAAAAGACATCAACACAATGTAATTTTGTATAATATTAATATTATTATCATTTTTATCAATTATGTCGCATGGAGAATTCGCAGACAGCACGAATCTGGATTTAAAATCGCCACTTTTAGGACTGCGTGTGCTTTTTTATAGAATTTTGCGCTAAAATATCCCCTAGTGCAAACAAATCAAGAAGCGAACATCGTAACGTCGAGCGAAACAGGGGTAAAAAGAGATGGGTAGAGCTCTCCGCATACCTTGGCGTCTCGACTCTTCATCTCCTGCCTCCTGGGCACAGTATTCTCCCCGTCGGCATACACGAGATTCCTAATAAATCCATTGAATCTTGGCTCGAATATCACGCTAGGCAGCGCCAACAGCGTCAGCTTGCTGTTATACCAGCTAGGCATACCGCCCACGTAGACGTCCGAGTTTCCGGCGAGCTTGCCGAACTCGAACTCCTTGCCGCGCGACGTCGAGACAGCGCCGACCCCGTCCACGGTCAGGGTGGTATTCTCGTTGCACCTGGTGATCTGCACCTTGTGCCAGTGGCTGTCGCCGAGGTCGTGGCCGACCGTGACGATCTGCGCCCCGCCGCCGAGGTTGTACCTCAGTCTGAGAGCACTCTCGACCAGTTTGACCTCGAAGAAGTCGTAAGTGCCGCCGTCGTCCGTGTAGAGTAGCAGCCCGTTGCCCTGCTCGGTCTTGAATTCGAACTCGAGGGTGCCGTTCAGGCCGGCGTTCCATTTGCGAAATTGCGCGTAGCTCGTCGCGGAGCCCTCCAGCAGGAAGGACCGGGCCGCCTGGCAGGCGAACAGCACCGCCAGCAGAAGCGGCGTCGGCAAATGCGTAGGATGCATGATTCACTCTTTGGACTAAGTCTCCCGCTAGATCCTGTTCATTCGCTCAGTCGGGCCGTTCTCGTATACGCGCGCGAAGGACGTCACGCGCTCATACACATCTCGCGTGGGCGTTCGAGACGTGGGTGCGTGACGCTGGCCACGTTGCACCACCCGGCTGCATCCGTGAGCACGTGAGCACGCACGCGCGAATCGTGCGTGGATTGGGTGTGATATGCGATTTTGTGAGCGTACGCGCTGTCTCTCGTGCGTACTCCTATATCCCTTACTCTTTCTTCCTTTTGCCGCGTATACCTAAGTGTCTTCGATTGACGGCTCCTTGAGCTTCTCGTAAGCTCTTACTGAACAAACTCGTCGAGCGGGAAAATCGTTTCCAATACCGTTTCGAAAAATTAATTGAACTTGATAACGATCGGTCACGTTCGTTCCAAATTGTGATTTATCTTCGTTATTAAATTGTAGGATCCCTCTTTCGGGATAAGTTACAACGATAAACGCTTATGAAAACTTCGATAATAATTATTCATAAAATGATACCCTTTTAAACCTTATCTCCAATAAAATTATTTCAATTAGCATGAGATTCGTTCGTTAATTTTCATAAAAGTCGATATTTCTGGATATGTTTTCAATTTCAAGTTCAGTCTGTTAGTTGGACGCATCAAGATTTGTAAATTACCTCCCGAGTTCACTCTAAAAGCACTGAAAACGCAACGAAAAAATCCACACCTTTTTGTCTATAATGTGCGTATATATAATGTACACCAATCGATTGACAACGAAAAGTTTCTCGAGGAACAAGTGCTTTAGTCACACGTTTATTATATTACTTCTGTATGATTTCATGAAAATCAACCAGAGAATGTGAGACTAGGATAATGTACTTTCTTCCGAAGAACACCAGTTAAATTTACCGCTTAATGCACTGGTTTGACTGGAGTAGAATTCAATCTCCTTGCACCAACATTATATTTTTACAGAAAATCAATCGATGTCAATCATAGTCACTGTATATTTGATGGGGCGGAAGAAATATCGACGTATTGCTCAGATGTCTCACAGAGCAGACTTTCTTTCTTTATAATCAATCATAGGACACATTTAACGCTTTTTTGTTTTCTCTAAAATTCTTATTTTCGAGTGGATGATCAATTATTTTTTCGGACTCATTCCATTGATAGAGTCGCCGTCAGTAACATATGACGAAAATATGACATAATCAGTAAGGAAGAAGTTAGCTCTTCAGGAATCGATGACAAAATAAATCACGTGCGTATACGTTGCTTGCTGAGAAGGTCTTTTAACTGCGTACTCGAGTCTAGACTGGACAATCTCTATCGAGAAGGTAAGGATATGGAAAATTCAATAACTGTCAGAAGATCGTTGATGCGACTTTCAATTTCTTCCTGTTTCTCAGAGCTTCTGTATCTTATTGTTAGAGAATTCTTAGATAGGTTGCGCATAGCAATGCATGGACAACTTCTACGATATCGAGATATCGACACTTGGTGTCGAGGGTGCCTAAGTCGCGATCCAAACCTCGAGTCGTCTCGTAACGCGTCGCGACGCTTCGCGTCGCGTCGATGACACACTTTCACCGCGGCTCCTTCGGCGGGATACACGTCTCGGAATTGCGAGCGATTCGCTGCGAATGGCACGACGCGAGCAAGTCAAAATCCAAATTGCGTGGACCGTCACCTGACTTCGCGCTTCATCCCCGGCAGCGAAGGTCACCGGGATGGAGAGAGGAGAGCGGTCCCAGCGACGAGCGACACGACCTCGACCTAATCACGCGATGAGCACTTTCACCACACACCAGGCTCTGTCCCTCCCTCTCCGCCGTCCGCGACGCAGAATCGCGAGAGATGCCGGGGGATGATCACTCGGCGCGTTCGCGACGTCGCCGTTTTCCCCGTGGCAAGCTCGTGGTGACGTTCAATGGCGCCGGCACAGCACGGCACGGCACGGATCCCGCTCGTCAGGCCGAGTCAAGACGACTACGTTACTCGCTCGCGGTTCACTCTCGAGTCAGCCATCCGTTCGTATCGCGATCGATCCGGCCGCGCGCTCCATTTTTCCTTCTCTCTCTGTCTCTCTCTCTCTCGCGCCCGCGCTCGCTCGCTCGCTCTTTCTCTCGCCACCCGGAAGCTTTGGCGAAACCGGACGTATACGTTGGAACAACGCGCGAGAACCACGTAAATCCCGTTCGCCGTTCTCGTCGTGGCTACTGCTGATCGCGACTGGTAGACCGATTCCCGGAGGTGGATCGACCCTCTCGACGGCTCTCGGCTTGATACTAGCCTGGCGAGACGAGGCGACGCTCGGTCGAGACGCTCGCTGCCGACGACGATGGTGCGACGCCCCCGGCATGACGCCGACGCCGACGCCGACGACGACGTCGACGCCGACGCCTCGCGCCGTTCCTCTGCGCAGCCGCGCGTCGAGGGAGAAGACCGAAGGAGGAAGAGAGGGTTGCGCGATGGTGCGAGAGGGTTGTTCTTCGTGTCGGTGCCTATCGTTGTCTGTCTGTCTCTCTGTCTGTCGTTGTATAACGTTGGGACACAGGTGAAGGCGCAGAGAGACGGAGGGATGTGGTGGTGTGTACGCGGGGTGCACGAGAAGGGGTTGCGCTCAGGTTTACTCCTCCAGCCAGAACGTTAACGACGAGAAGCGCGGAAAAATTGTTGAGCGAAGCCGCGATCGAAGAGCGAAAGAAACCCTTAATGCAAAGCGCGTTCTTAGGGCCGCTGATCTACACGGGAAACGTTCTATGAATCGTCGATCGATACCAACAGAGAGACCAATGAAGAAATGCGATCACGACACCGTATCGCAGGTTCGACCATGCCGAATGTTCAATTTTTTATGTCAGAGGGATATGCTCGGGGAAAAAGAAACAACGTTTTTTACTCTCTTCCATTAAGAGATATGAGATGCGAGAGAAAGAAAGAGAGAGAGAGAGAGAGAGAGAGAGGGAGAGAGAGAACCATTTTAAAAGAGTATCATATAAATATAGTTATTATTCAGAGTTTTCTACATGTATCCGTTTACAAAATGAATGAGAAACGTTAAAGATAAAAAAAACTATCGTACTATCCTAGCAGTGTTGAAAAAGCACTGCAATATTTTCCTGCTTCGCTTTATTCGTTCTTTATTTTAACGTAACTTGAACACATATGCACAAATGGTTTCGAAAATGTGACTAGCATAATGAAGAATTTTCAAATTATCCATTTTTCTAACTGAATCTCGTATTAATAAACAAAGTCATTTTAGCTAGAGAAGCACTTATTAATTCCTGGTTTACGTTAGTTTGGTGGCATTAGATGAAAAGGAAAAATTGTCCGTTCGCATTGCTAAAACAAGAGAAAGAGACGCGAGCAGTAACAATAAAAAGAGGCGAAAAGGGGATGGGCGAAAAATTCAGCTGCCCAAATAAAAGAAATGGTAACTGAGCAAGATGCTGCGCGAAGATACCGCGTAAAGGTGGTTCCCTGGACCGAGTGAATAGAGGGATAGGTGTAAATGTCAGTCGAAATGTGGAAAAGCACGCGACTCGATGCTGAGAAAGCACCGTGTGGCCAATCGGCAGAAAGCGCCGATTCGCGAGGACGATACAACATGAACCGAGAAATGTTGAACGGCGATTTCGCCTGGTCAGAAATTCGAGGAGCCGTCGAGTGCTTTCGACGTCGACCCGAGTCGGCGATTTTTCGATTGCGTTGCGAGAGCGTGAGCTCGTAAATACATCCGCGCGCTTATATAATCAATCTCGCAAAACGTATCCAAGTTATTGGTTTATTAAAAACAAAGATGTTTAACTGTAATCATCTCAAAATTAATCTTTGTCGATCTGTTCTTCCAAAAAAGTTCGATTAGCAAATTCGGACTTTTATTTTTTAGACTCGCATAGAATCTTAACGATGAAATCCTTAGAAGGAGGAGAAAATATATCATATATCAATTATGACAGTTGATTATCATTAACGCTAATTTAATGCTCGCATACCTCGAGATAATAGCTCCCATTAGTCCGTGTCGTTCAGTATAATTAACACTTTGAGTCCGGTGGGGGTACTGCAAATTCCAACGTGATGTTAAATGCTCTCCGGATTCGAAGTATTAATCAACGTTGTATATATTAATATCGTATCTATATAAATCGGGGATATATATTATATACCCGGGGGTTGATAGATTTATCGCTGGGTTATTATTCTTGCTCACAAAAATCACGTACAGTTGTACCATCACTCTCCAAGTTCGCCGCGATTCTTTTCAAATCACTCGTCGGCCTATCGATCTACCGTGATTGCTGACTCGACGACGACGTATTGGACCCGCGGGAGTAATTAGATTGTTAGATCACAAATTGGCATAGGCCCTTAAGTCGTCTACACATAAGATGAATCGCGTCGCTCACACGTCTTTCCCCTAGCTGTTTCTCGTTAGTGTTTTATCCGTCGGACAGTGTCCGCCGTATTGATGGATCGCAGTAAACCGTCCCCTAAATCCCGGCAAGTAGGTCGATCCAACGGATGTGTTTACCTGATAGCTGGCGGTACTTTGGAAAACGCTGCAAGACAGAAAGACCGCTCACGCTCGAGCTGCAAAAGTTTTCGTCGAATGTACGCCGACATCCCCGGACCGATCTCGCATTGGAAAATATGTCCCGATTGTGACTTCCCGAGTTTCGTCCGTTGCGCTAATACCGGGTGGTCAGATAGAAACGTCAGATTCGTTCAACGAAGACCGCACATAGACTGCACATATCGTTGGTATGCACAGCATGGATGAAATTCCAAGAGAATGAGATTCGAGAAAACTTTTATTTGAAACATTTCTTCGATCGCGAAACCGTTCTTAACCGATTGTATTCTAACATATAATCGTAATATTATCAAAAGCATGATTCTAGAACACAACTTCTCTGCTGCTTACTTTTCTGTAGCTGCGCTATACGAATGTGTTAGCATTTGAAATGTAAAATATAACTGATATTATGTAAAGAACAAGTTTGTATGTACGCTGTTCTATTTTACTTCGCTGTTAGCTCATATTTTTACGTAAGCATCAATTTATATACATATATATTGTTTTTTTATATATAAAGATTCAATTCGTTCCAGATACGTGAGCACTTCGAGTCGCGTAAAATTTTCCTTGGATTTTCGTTTGTTCACCCGATATACGAGTGCATGCATACGTGCGGAATAGAATTGAAAACGCTGGGAAACTTCGACGATAACGCAGGACAATATGTAAGGACGCGTCTCTCCGCGTTTCCAACAAATATCGACCCATATCTGACCCATCTCCTCGGCTCTGCTAGAAAAATTTCGAAAAAAGATTTGTCGCTAAGAAACTACGGAGAAATCCTCTCGAACTGTGTCAAGCCGAGTGCAGTTGAGATCGATTATTTTTTTGTGTTTTCTTCTGCACTGTTTACACGAAAGTATCACCACGCAATTTGTTTGCCGAACGAAATAAAGAGTGCACAAGCGTGTGCATTTTTATCTGTTCCGGTCGTTTGTTTTAATCTCGTAATGTGTATTTTCGCGCAACGTCGACGAAATATCGTTTCACAAAATGAACGCTATCGATTCCCTTGCAAATATTTTCGTTGCCGAAGTGAACGTAGGAAAGACAAGATTTTTCGTGCCAAAATATTTAGATATCTCCTATTGGAATTTTCAAAAATTTTGACGAAAAAAGTTGCAGAAATTTGAGGGAAAAACGTACTAGCGAATAAATCGCAAAAACAGCCTAGTAGATGAAAGATTATTTAATTTTTAGGCTGCATTCCGATATTCACTGTCAGCAACTGTCAGTACTAAAAAATCTATATTTTTCTATAATATATTTTACGTTATGTATATTACAGATTTTCAGTACTGACAGTTGCTGACAATAAATATCAGAATGTAGCCATTAATTGTAAAATATGTGAGTCTTTATACAAATACAATATATTATATTACAATAGGCTAAATGTGCAGTAGTTACTTTTAAAATTTTAAATCGAATATAAATCTTCTTGAGAGAAAAAAATTACAAAAATTTTGTCTAGCTTACACGATTCTATACAAGTCACGATAGTTATATAATTTTATAAGAATTTATAAATCTAATATAATTATGTAATGTTATATTAGAAATATAAAACAGCTTATGAAAAGCTTTTGTTGAGTTAAATCTCGTAGTATGGAATGATATAATAAGTACAGGTCTTCCCTGTTTTAACAATGTCGCGTTTCTTTATTGCTAAGTACGCACAAAAGAAAACTTGTGCCAGAGAGAAATCTTGACAGCTTTATATCTATTGTAGAACAACTACCATAATGCGAAGAACACTGGCAGCGAAAATGACTTTAATCCTTCAGCGGAGCCCTCGTACGTCTGACCCGCGACTTTCCTATACTACTGAATCTCTCTCTCTAAAGTCGCGAACGACGGTCTACGCGACAGAACTAATTAGACAATTAGTCCAATCGTTCGCAATCGAAACATATTGCTCTAATTTCATCGCTTCGTACGACCGCTTTACAAATACGCGAGCAATTTTTCTCGCTCGCGAGACATCGTGCCGCGGGCCCCATTATTATCTCCGCCATTCGAAGCCGCTCGCGCTCACGGCGACAATATAATTACTACGTCCCACGCGGCCACGTAGGTGTGTAATTAACCTACAACCTACAACCGACAACGCCATTCCCGCAAAATGGAAGAAATTTAAATACCAATAACCCAGAACGCGCGCGGCTCGGTCTTGGAGGACGCGCGCGCTGAACAATTCTCGACGGTCTAACGAGAGTGCCAGATGCTCTGGAAAGCTTCATCAGAGCCATCCTGGAAACGACACTTTATTTTTTCCTTTTTTCGCACGACTCCTCTTTGTCGCGCTATCGTCGTTCAACTCCAGTATGGTGTCTCTCGGCGGTGAATCGTTGTTATTGGCAATCATAAATTTTTCGCATGCTTGATAGATATAGCAGAGTTAGAAGTTAAAATTCTCCGCAGGCCACCGTATAACCGTATTTCGCATCCGAACGCGTGCTTACATTATTCAGCTATATTTACAAAGGACAGTCGGTGAATTAATTCACGAACCAGTCGTGCAAAACAATAATCAATATATTAGTACAGGAATTAATTAACATTGACAGAGAAATTATTATATCCCCCTGTCGTCGCAGAATGTAACGCGAATGAATCGTCGTTATTAATTGAATCAGGTTTAATTAATTGACGTTCACTTCGATGGATCGAAGCTCGTATCGCGCGATTTTTACACAGAGATAATAGAAGAGCGAGGGGAAAAGTAGGACGTTCCCTTATCCGCTTTTAATCTATGATTGAAC